TTTTTTCCGGGTCGATCTGAGACAATTTTTTTTTCGGGCCTCAAAAAAAGGCAGTGTATAACCTTCCTTTTTAGCCAAAAATCTACTGTACCAAAACAATTCGTACTTTTTCGATCAGACTTCTGAATCAAAAGTTGACTAGAAACCAATTTCGAAAAAAAATTCAAAGAGCTGTAACTTTTGAACTAGTAGCCCAATCTTGGAACTGTTTGAAATTAAAAAACCCCAATGACGACTTTAGTAAGATTGAATTTTCTAATGAATTTTAAATGTTTAAATTTTTGAAATTCAATTGACAGGCCACATTTTATTAGACAATTTTTTTCCGGGTCGATCTGAGACAATTTTTTTTTCGGGCCTCAAAAAAAGGCAGTGTATAACCTTCCTTTTTAGCCAAAAATCGACTGCACCAAAATTTCTCGGGAAAACACTTTCTTATTAATTTTGATGCGTAGAATCCAAAACAATTCGTACTTTTTCGATCAGACTTCTCAATCAAAGGTTATGGACCAGAAACCAATTTCGAAAAAAAATTCAAAGGGCTGTAACTTTTGAACTTGTAGCCAAATCTTGGAACTGTTTGAAATTATGGATCTACAGGCCACATTCTATAAGAAAATCTTTTTTCCGGGTCGATCTGAGACAATTTTTTTTCGAGCCTCAAAAAAAGGCAGTGTATAACCTTCCTTTTGAGCCAAAAATCTACTGCACCAAAATTTCTCGGGAAAACACGTTTTCTTATTAATTTTGGTGCGTAGAATCCAAAACAATTCGTACTTTTTCGATCAGACTTCTCAATCAAGTTATAGACTAGAAACCAATTTCGAAAAAAAATTCAAAGGGCTGTAACTTTTGAACTAGTAGCCTAATCTTGGAACTGTTTGAAATTATGGATTCTACAGCTGCCACATTCTATAAGAAAATTTTTTTCCCGGGTCGATCTGAGACAATTTTTTTTTCGGGGCTCAAAAAAAGGCAGTGTATATAGCCTTCCTTTTTTTTACCAAAATTCGACTACACCAAAATTTCTCGGGAAAACACTTTTTCTTATTAATTTTGGTGCGTAGAATCCAAATCAGTTCGTACTTTTTCGATCAGACTTCTGAATCAAAAGTTATAGACTAGAAACCAATTTCGAAAAAAAATTCAAAGGGCTGTAACTTTTCAACTAGTAGCCTAATCTTGGAACTGTTTGAAATTATGGATTCTACAGGCCACATTCTATAAGAAATTTTTTTTTCCGGTTTTTTTTTTTTGAGTTGGATCCATCGTTCCTCGAAATGGGGGTTGAAATATATTATGTTATCAAAAATCTCTAAACCTTCCCCATATAGTTTTATTCGTTGAAGTTTTTAAAGTTAAAAGCGACTATAGTTTCGGCGTACTGCCATCATCAGGCGATGTGAAAGTTAACAGGAAAACGGTAAATTACAAACGTTGAAGACGGATAAGACGAACATGTTGTTTTTTTTAATTATAAACTGGCCGAAGCCAAGTGAAGAACCTGAAGGGTGGTTAAAACAGGAAAGGTTGTCCTAAGTTTCAAGACGAATTAATTATCAAGCCTTGTTAAGACAACCAACCGGGGGGTTGAATTTTTACATTAAAGTTGAAATTTGGGTTAACACATTTCAAAAGAACGGGGGAAAAAAAATAAACTTATAAAAGTATTGAAACTATTAAGATGACTACATATTTAAATTATTTAAGTAAAGTTTAAATTCGAGATCATGCAGACGGCATGTCTCGAATTTAAACTTTACTTAAATAATTTAAATATGTAGTCATCTTAATAGTTTCAATACTTTTATAAGTTTATTTTTTCCCCCCGTTCTTTTGAAATGTGTTAACCCAACTTTCAACCTTTAATGTAAAAATTCAACCCTCCGGTTGGTTGTCTTAACAAGGCTTGATAATAATTTCGTCTTGAAACTTAGGACAACCTTTCCGTTTTAACCACCCTTCAGGTTTTTCACTTGGCTTCGGCCAGTTAATAATTAAAAAAAAACAACATGTTCGTCTTTTTCGTCTTCAACGTTTGTAATTTACCGTTTTCCTGTTAACTTTCACATCGCCTGATGATGGCAGTACGCCGAAACTATAGTCGCTGTTATTTTTAAAAACTTCAACGAATAAAACTATATGGGGAAGGTTTAGAGATTTTTGATAACATAATTTTTTTTCCGGGTCGATCTGAGACAATTTTTTTTTCGGGGCTCAAAAAAAGGCAGTGTATAACCTTCCTTTTTTACCAAAATTCGACTACAC